AGTAACTGGGCATGGTGAGCTACACCTGTAACCCTAGCTCTCAGGAGGCAGAGGCAGGATTGCAAGCTTAAGGCCAGTTACATAGTGATACTATCTCAAACAACCACACTTATGGCTGCTCTTACATGGGGCATTTGAGAAGTGAGGGGACAGAGCATGGGCTTTCGGCACAAAAGTAAAAGCCTCCTAGTCAGCCAGGATCCCTCTGAATACCCTCATGTACTCAGAACTTTCTAAAAGGCTGTGATTTCTCAGTTCAAAATACTCAGCCAGGAAAGGAGAAGAAACTGATCAAGAGTAACAGCAACCTTCACAATCACCTACGATTTCGCATCAATGCCCTAATGATCCATGAGGTCCCTGAGATAGCATGTGCCGTGTGTGTGAAGGGGAGGGCAAGGGGTGGTCCACTGCTCTGAGAGTTTACAGTGCAGTATAATCTCATTAGAAGCTTGCAGGTGCTATGTTTTTGAGGTCTCTTAGGTATTCTCATCACCCATGTAGGTGTCTTTCTTCCAGCTACTTTGAGAATCCCTTGTCAAAAAGGGTTGTATTCAGGGCTGGGGAGGTGGCTCAGTTGGTAATGTACTTGCCATGCAAGCATGATGATCTAGGTTTGATTTCCAGCTCCCAGATGAAAAATCAGGGTGTAGAGGTGTGTACTTCAGTGCTAGGGAGGTGGAATAGATCTCAGTGGTTCACTGGTCAGCCAGCCTGGCCATTTGGCAAGCTCCAAGTTCAATGAGTTTGTCTCAAAAAATAAGGTGGAGAGTGACTGAGGACCTCTGACCTCCACAGGCACGTCACACACACACACACACACACACACACACACACACACACACGTTAAATGTTTTAAATTTGGTTTATGTGTATGAATGCATTGCTTGCTTATATGTAAGTGCACCTGTGTCATCTAATGCCTATGGAGGTCAGAAGAGGGCATCGGATTCCCCTGGGATTGGAGTTATGGATGGCTGTTACCTGCCATGTGGGTGCTGGGAATTGAACCCAGGTCCTCTGCAAGAGCAGCCACTGCTGCTAACTGCTGAGTCATCTCTCCAGTCCCATATGTGTTGTTTTTTGAGGCCACCTTTTTGCACTTGGCCTCAAGCATTACCCAATGTAGCCAAGTACCTAATTTATCAGATTTAGCACAAAATGATTTCTGTTCTTCATCTCAATAGTCTCTCCTCAGACACTGCTCTGTCATCTGGAGGGGCATACCACTGTTCTCAAGATGATCCCAAAAGCAAGACTCCAAGAAGCAGCAATACAGGCCAAAGAGGATCGCGAGGTGGCTCCTAGGAGAGGGTTGTTGGGAACTATTGTGCGTCCAGGACAGATGTAACACCGTGATCCAGGAGGCCAGGAGATACAAGACACTGCCTGAGACTCCTACATAACAAATACACCTTAGGGTGGGATGGTGAACTGAGGCCAGCTCTGCTGGGGTTTCTACTGTGGGTGAGAACCAGGCAGAGCACAGGAACCAAAACCACCACAAAAGGGCTCAGAGAACCTCTGGAGAGCACCACCTTTCTTCTCCTTCAGCAGCGACAGATGCTCAGTCATCTGCTGCCTTTGGGTGTGCTCTACAGAGGCTCTTCTGCTTCACCATGCTCCCCAGTATGGCGGTGGAGCCATTAAGGGGTGAGACCCAGTAGAAAGCATCACAAGGGGAATCCCCTTTGGCATACATTAATGTAGTTTTCATGGGACCCCGCTAAATTTCCCAGGACAAGGGGCTGTTATGAAGAGCAAGGTTGGCCCTGAATCTCTCCTTTTCTGCCTTGCCATGTGATTCACCCCCTGGCTGCATAAAGCTGCTTATCTTTTGTTGTAACCAAAGAGAGACTCACAGGGTTCGTATGTGTGAGGGGATGGAGTGGGCACTTCAACAGTGGTGACATAAACCCTAGAGGAGTTTGTTGGGATGTCCTCACCAGAGACCCTCAGGATACAGGACAGACAGGCCTCAGCCCCAAAGTGCAACTTTAGTTTAATGTTTGGCAACTTCTAACAAAGGCCAGTCATCTGCACCACGATTCTATGGTTGTGATGAGAACCCTAAACTAGTGGCCTTACAGAACAGCGCATGATTTTCCATAAAAATGAAAGCATGTGTGAGGGTGGGCACTGTTGGCACAGCTCAAACTGTACGACCAGACTGAAAAACCACACTCCCCTACTGTGGAAACGAGATGGATTCTCTCGGAGCTGGGGAGATAGCTCAGCTGGGCACCGTCAAGTGTGTGCTTGTAACCTCAGCACTGGGGGACGGGGATAGGGAGAAATGGATAGATTCACTAAATCACCATAAGCTTGCTGGTCAGCAAGCTTAGCTTATTGGTGAGTTCCAGGTTGAGTGGCAGATCCTGTCTCAAAGGAAGTGGAGAGCAAAGAACACATCAACCCCTGGTCTTCACATGTGTGCAGTGTGCATACACATGCATATACATGCATGCACACCCACACACACAGAGGGCCAGTTGTACCACCAGTGTTGCCCATGGACACACCATTCACACAACACACAATGCTTCTTTCCAATTGATGCAACTCAGTAATTTTTATTGCAACTGGAAGACAATACATCACAGAAACTTTATGGTAGGTCTGGGGAAGTGTTATTTACAATAAATGATGAAGTAGTTTGTCTTTGGCAATATGATTACACATGAGGAACGCAAAATGCAGTATGGATCCCTCCAAAGCAACACCACCAAGTCCCTTGAGCTCAGCTGGTCGTGCCCACACTGTGGCTTTAGGCTAATGCAAACACCACTCAACACCATTTTCTTTCTCTTGTGGTCCTCCCTTTCTGTTCATGATATTGGCAGTTTCATACAGAGAATAAAGAAAAAAAATTGGCTTCTGAAAAGATTTATTACTCTTGTAAATTAATTTGGCCCTGTAGGACTATTGGCCAGTAAAAGTTGGGCAACTCTAAAATTCAACCACAAACCTCTTGGTCTTCTGATTGCTTTATCACTGTTTTTGTTTTCTGTAAATAAACACAACTCAGAAAAGTTACATAATCAGAGCATTAAAAAGATGTCCCAGTGTAGATGCTTCCCAGATACATGCTGATACTTTATCCCCCCGTGTTCACCACGGCAGTGCAGGCAGGGAGGATGGTGCAGAACTGCTTGACTGAGTCAGCTACGACCTTGGATGGCTTCAACACACATGCTCAAGAAATGGTGAATGCATCCATCACTGAAAGTGTGCTGCTTCCTCTAAAATGGTGTGTGTGTGGGGAAATGGGGGAAACTCAGGCATGAAAAGATAAAATACAATTTCTAGGTTTGACAGGTTTACCATATCGAAGTCTTTTGAGAATCCAATATGGAGTATCAATTATTTGCAAAAGGGTAGAGAAGGCATGTTCTCCGCTTTTGCAAATGAAACACGGTGGAAGAACACCGCTGTATAAATCCCAAATCAATAGTCTTGAGTTCAATGCTAACGAGACCGGAAGGGTACCTGCGAGCATCTCACAGTAAGTCAGAAACGATCTTTCCACATCGGTCTGATTTCAGAAGCTCGACAATTAAGTGGCAGCACCATAGACATACCGGTTTCGGCCGTGAAAGGCGGATTGCTTTAAAAATGGTGTTTTCCTTCCTTAATTTTTGGTCAGTGAAGCGAGCACTTGTTTGCTGACGTGTGGAAGAGTGACCAGGTCACACCCATCATTCATGATAAAGCAACCAAGTAGACGAGTCTGTGCTTAATTCAAGAATAACCAGCAGGAGAGAGAACACTGGGAGTTAGCCACCACGGCTGGCACTCTCTCAAAGGAAGAGGGGTTGACAGATGAGCTCACAAAGGTAGGCTGGTCTATACAGAACACCAAATGCTGTGTGTAAATCCTCATGAAATCCCAAGAAACAGGAATGCCACACAATGTATATACTTTGATTTACACATTCCATTACAAAGGGGGTGGGGGGTGGGGAGGAAAAGACACCATTACAATTTTGTAACTGTGTTAACTGCAATAGAAACCAAAGTCTAGAGTTTGGCAGGTAACTAAAAAGGGTTTATCACTTAGGTTATATAGCAAAAGTGTTGATGTATATTATATATAGTAGTATAAATAATAAAAAAGTATTATTTAAATTAGATCACAGTGTTGCATTATGTGCATAACAGTGTTTGATATAGTATTGGTGGGCTGGGACCTACGACATGGAGGACTTAACTGTCAACACTGGTAAGTCACAATCAAGAGGGGACATAGAGTTCCAATGTTTTCTTTTGGTGGCAAAAAATAAAATAAAAGGAAAATACTTCTCTTACAGAAACAGATATAAATTGCAACATCTGGGCAGCTGTGATCCACCAGAAAGAAATGAATCCCAACCTGAATAAAATTTGAAATGGAAAGTGAAATCACATTGAATTGAATCTAGTCCCATATGGGAAACCCTCCCATGAAGGTCACCTGTCCCTAACTCCAACTACAGGTTAAAAGCCCCTAAGGACAGGCTGGAGGTCCCAGGGTGGCACCAATAAAAGCCCAATCAGCTCCCAGCCAGGGTCTGCTGTGTCGTGCTCCTGGCTGGGGGTCAGAGCCAACCACCCTTGCCTGGGCACTGTTCAATGCAATACCTCTTCCAGAATACCCTGTGGTAGGGACAGCTATGGCAAGCACTAGACATGCTGGAGGACTCTAAGAAAAATCTATTCTTGGGAAAGGGCTCTGACCCATTCCTTCTTAAAAACTCAGCCCCAAGATAGAAACCTGCCATGGTTGTTCTGGCCACGTTCCCTCACGCCACCATCCACGTGTGGGTTTGGTTCAGTTTTAGATAGAAGGCTATACCAAAAAACTCTTGAAAGTACATGGACGGGAGGGGGAGAGGGAAGTAGGAGCTTGTGGTATTATAAGGCTGGGAAAAAAAATCTATGATGCAAACCCTTTCCACACAGCACTAGATAAAGAGAAAAGACAATTATAGTAGGGTAAAAATAATTGTCTATGTGTATTTCATCTAAGAAAAAAAGAGCAACAGTCTCTTTCTCTTAAATGTGTCCAAGGGCCCAATAGCAAGTAGGTGTCACGGTGCTACGTGTTCACGGTTGTTTTCAAAGCATCTGTAAATATTGCTATAGTTCCCCGTTCCCCCTCCCCCCGCCCCATGTGAGTATGTGAGATACTGGAATGACACATGAACCACCACTTCTCCCTGCAGGAGAAATGAAAGCAAAAACACCACATCCCATAATGATGCTCAGGCGGATCTGTTAGACTAATGGATACACAGGCTAGTTTGGAAGCCAAGAGAACACCTGACATTTGGGAAGGAATTCTGAGACTAAAGTGAATTACACTTAAGCAAAATATTCTTTCACAAATAGGCTTGTGCTTAAATTCTCTACCGCTCTTAGAGGAGGGGAAAGAGGGGGTGCCTCCTGCCCCCTGGCTTGTTAAGGACGCAGACAGCCTCATTCTGCAGACTTTGCTACAAATAGCCACATACACATTGATACTTGGTTTTTGCCTCAACAGTCAAAATACAGAGTTAAACACAATTGAGCCATTGTTTTGGTGATGCATAATGTGTATGCCTCCCAAAACAGAAGGAAAATAGAAAAGAGTACCCTTACTAAAGTTTCCCCAACAAGTCTTCCAGAAGATTCCAACAAAGGTGCCAAGGGAGGCTCAGGAAAATAACACTTAGAAAGCTGCCTGATGAGGTATTTATGCAAAAAGAGTGGTTCTGGCGTTAAGAACACACTTGTATAAGATAGTTTTCTAGTTCTCAAAGAGATCAGAAAAGTAAATCACACACATTGCATTTTATTATTTTCTAAAAGAGGCCTCTGCCCCTTCAGAAAAACGAAATGAGGGGAGACAGCCCATGTGGGGGTTTCATTGGAAGAAGTCCCCTGCCAGAAACAGCACTGACCATTCGTTACCTTTGCCTTCAGGAGAGAAGTCTGAGTTCGGTCATCTTGGGGGTAGGGAGGGTGGTCTTTTGGACTTGGTTCGGTGGCAACACAAATCAAGGTGTGGCTCAGGTTCCATCGCTGTGGATGGCTTTTCCGGTGTCAGATGTTTGTGGGGAAAGAGGGATCAGAGCGCTGCAAAAACATACCTGTGCTCCCATCCAACCCTGAACCAACCCTGAACATGCTGGAAGGGATCAGGTTCAGGGTCAGGTGTGCAGGTAAATTTAACCTGCCATGCAGGTGTAGACTTTTCTAGGTTCTTTCCCCAGCTGCTCTCAGGATAGGTAGAGGGAAGGTACCAGATATCCCCCTATCTGTCCTGGCTGAGGCAGTTGCCACGGTAGCTGGTCCTAACAGGTGGGTGTAGCTTCGAAGGCCCACCATCATCCTGTTTAAAAAGATCAAGATCACCCTCCCTTTCCCAACCATCAGACCCTGGGTAGTGGGTGATTTGTTTTTAAAAACTTCCCTCCATTTGGGTGGAAGGCCATATCCTTTTAGAGATTTCCCTTTAGATTTTTCTTTTTTTTTTTTTTGGCAAAGGTAACAAGAGTCTCTGGCCTGCGTGACATGGTCCAGTTGTCTAAATTCAGCTCTCACAATCGAGGTGGTCTTAGTTTCAGGGTGGTTACTGTGCTGAGGGCGGCAGAGATGGCCAACCCCTCCTGACTGCAAAATGGCACAGTAGCTTAGAACATCTGGGGCTGGCCCATCTAACCCCCTTATCACTTCCTCCTTCCGGTGACCCTATCTCCTACCCTCACCCAATAAGGCCCATTAGCATGGTTCCCCTTCTTCTGGTGAATTTGCATAATTATTCACTGCCTTTTTCCTAGAACCATATCACGGTAATGATTTTCTCAAGTAAGCGTCCCATAATTCTCTTGATTCTATCATACACACTACTAAGTTTGCCCTCAAATTATTGCGTCATGTTAAACACACACAGACAAAGAAGGACACACTCTTCAGTAGAGAATCAGAGGGGGTCGGGGCTGAGTGCAGACAAGGCAGTGTAGAGTTCAACCATCCAAGTGCCCTACCAGAGCATGAAGATATTTTTATATTGCAGAGTAAGTTCCCCAACAGTCAGAATTTGTCCCTGAAGAAGGTTAAACCTTAAACACCTGCTTCAAAAAAACCAAAATAAAATAACAACGAAAGAAAAAAAAAGGAAGGTAAAGAAAGGAAAAGAAAGAAGGTCTAAGCCTAAGGGCTTAAAAATTAGAGGCATAGCCTTTTCTCTAGTAGCTATATTTATATAAAATAATTCATGCTTCATGCTAAATACATTATTTACCTTACAAGAACTTTGTTATTTTTGAATTTAAAAAAGTTTGTTTTTGTGATTTTTTTTTCTTTTTCTTTTTTTTCCTTTTTCTTCAAAGGAATCCATGCATTGTGGGTCAGAAATTTCTGCTGGCTACACTGGCTAAATGTGGAAATCACTGATTTTTAAATTTATTTTTTGCAAAGATTGAGTCCTGACATTAATCACAAACCCTTTTTGAGGGCAGTATGAAGTTGTATTGTTTGCTCTGTTTTGCTTTTCATGTCCATCAATGCGCCCTTAATCTTTAAAAAATACACCACAATACTAATGGCAGTTTCTGTAGCTCCCCCTCTCCCCCCAACATGGATCAGACAGTTTTGATAGAAAAGAATCTGTACCATTTTTTCCTTTCTTAACAGCTACTGTCATTTCTTGGGTATGATTGTTTGTCACGGGCAGTTAAGAAGACACAGCTTATTTTCTGTATGCGCTCTCTCTCAGTTTTGTGTGTGTGTGTGTGTGTGTGTGTGTGTGTGTCTGTGTGAAGGGCCAACCTCAGGCTTATGGCTTTTGGAACATTTTCTTAACTTAGAACAGAATTCAATGATTAGCAACAGCTCTAAGAATTTACCCCTTTTTGTCTTTAGTCACTAACAGGTGACATTTCTGAATATTCCAGTGTTCGACTTGTGAGATGTTACCAGGTTCAAGGTTACGAAGCACAGAGGACTGGTGGCTGAGCCCCACATGGCAATGCCATGGGTGTTCCTGGCAGTGGGATGCCAGTGCCAAGGCATGGAGCTGCTTCTAGGGGACCCGGGGCTCTTCAGTCTCTCCAATGGCTTCCCTGGCTTTACTCTGAACACAACTGCAAGGGTATCCTGACTTTTAAACCTAAGGGTTGGGCCTAAGCAGTGACAACTCTGCATGTGTGCCTCCTAGGCGGCATACGTGTATTCCGGTGGCATTAACGTTGACATCCCTGTGGATTCAGCCACGGGTTTCTGACAGGCTGCAGGAAGCAATGGTTAATTTTGGCTTTTGTCAGTTTTTGTCTTCGGATAATGAAAAGCTTTTGTAAAACGGCTGAGTGTCAGTATGAGTTCTATGGCTTCAATCTCCTTTAAACATAAAATTCTTAAGGGTCCAAAAACAAAGGAGAGGGGGGCAAATTAAAAAAAAAAAAGGAAAGAAAAGAAAGAAAACCAAACCAACAAAAGGAAAAAAACAAAAGACAAAAGAAAAAATTGCTGATATTGCCACTAATCATTAGAAACCTCCTGACATGCTGAAACCAAATGGCCGTAAGTTCAAAACAAATCAGTGACTTGTTTCAATCTTTCGTGGTTCCCTTTTGCTCTTTCTGTCCCTTTGCCGTCCGATTGGTGATGTTGTTCAAACAGGACCGAATCCCTGCCAAGTGCAGCAGCGACCCGGCTGCCTCTTTCATCTCCTCATCGTCGCTCTCGGGGGGCTTTTCTGTGCGTCTCTTTTTGAGGGGCAGCGTGTCACTGGGGACCTTCCTGGTCTTGGCCAAGTGCTGGCGCTTCTTGTGCTGGGATGCATAGCCGCTGTCCCCCAGGGCATCCTTGGCCTCCTTCTGGCTAGGTTTCCTGTCATCCTCCTCTGTCTCGCTGTGGCTCTCATGGCTCTGGAAGCTTCCCTCGCTGCCCTCACTGCCTTCCTGGCTCCCCTTCGTGGCAAACTCATAGTGGTCGTCGGCTGAGGAGGAGGAAGAAATGGAGTCGCTGGCAGGCGAGGTGCTCCGGGCATTGGAGGACTTGGCACTGCTGTAGTTGTGGTCCTCCTTGGGGTCTCCACTGACCACAGGGGAGCCACACGATGGCTCGCTCTCAGTCCGCATCCGGCAACTGGTGATGCCATTCCTGTAGACGGGAGAGAGAACATCAAATTAGATCTTCTCAATGGAGACACGAGGCAGCTGGGCACCTGCAAACCTCCCTAGCAATTTGGAAACCTGGGTAACGTTGCAGGCGGATGTGCTTTGTAGACAGAGATGGGTCCTGAGTCTCCTACCGTGTCTTTCCTCCTTATTCCTCTCCGCCGGCTTTGCCATTTTTCACTTACCTTGCATGTCTGAGCTGTTAGAACAGTACTCCTTTGAGGATACAGGCAGTGGAGGCTCCCTCTTTTATTAAAAAAATATTTTATTTATTTTTATTTTATGTGTGTGAGTGTATTGCCTGCATGTACGTGAGTGCACCCGTGTCATGTAATGCCATGGAGGTCAGAAGAGGGCTTCGGACTCCACTGGAACTGGAGTTAAGGATGGTTCATAGACACCATGTGGGTGCTGGGAATCAAACCCGGGTCATCTGTAAGTGCAGTCAGTGCTCTTAACCACTGAGCCATCTCTCCAGCCCCGGAAGCTCCCTCTTATGCCCCAACCCAACACCATGGAGTAAGATACCACCAGTTGATGTTGGCTGGGCACTTCAGAGACAAAGCATCCAGAGCTGCTGCGTGATGTGATGTTTGTCAGAGGCTAAATTCAACATTCAGCAAAGTGTCCTGCCCTGTGGTGACAGCTCCACTACTGGACACTTTCCCACACTTTTGTTCAATCTATCAGTGTTTTCTGAGCAGCTAACAGAAGTACATGGCCTTAGAGAAGGCCTGGGGGAATTATTCAAGGACAGCTCACTATTGTGAAGATGCTAACAAAACAGCAAGTCAAAGCTGGATCATGGAGGAGGGTAGTAAGTTATTCTTTCTTGAACCCACCAGATGCTCTACTGAGCCTGTCCCATGATTATGTTTAACTCCATCAAGTGGACCTTACCTTAGTCATCTTATTTTACAGGGGTCAGAGGTAAGTGCTGGAAAGTTTGATGACTTACTTAAAGCCACACAGTCAATAAGACATGGAGTTGGGACTGGAATCAAAGTGTAAGCCTTTAGCCATACCATTGGGTCACCTCTCTCCTGTAATTTCTTATAATGAGGCTCCTTGCTAGAACTTCCCATCAAACCTCTAGCACACCTCACGCCCTGGATTATTTTCTGTGTATCTTTTTGTCTGGGCAGTGCACTGACCTCTGCTACATCTCATCAGGAGGTAGGAAGAGTGACTATGTTCACCTCTCACTGGTACCCAGCACATAGCCAATGCTCTGTGCAGGTGGCAGTCAGAGGGATGAAGGAGGCAAGGGTTACTGATAGCCAAAGGGAGAAGGAATGGAGGGGGCAGGGATGAGATACAATGGTGCACCAGACTGGTCTAGAGGAAACCTCACAGTGGGGCTCTGACCTGGCTTTGCTCTTCTTTCCTGCTGACAGGGCCCTGCTACTCCCCACTCCCCCATCATAGTGTGCTTACCTGGGACAGTCTTATTTTCTCTTTCTGTCAGGAGGATTATGGGAACCCAGCATAAAGAGAGGTCCTAGAAAGGGAGTTCATGCAGGCCTTGCCTGGGGACACAGTCTAAGCTTTAGGGGATAGGAGGGGGGACTGGTCTCCTCCATTTTTTTTTTTTCCTGCAGATTTCCTTTCTCGGCTGTGTCTTAGGTGTAAACATGGCTGGCATAGACTATTTGAAGGTTTTACGAGGTAGGAAACAACTATCTTTTTTATTTTTATTTTTGAGACAAAGTCTCCCTGTAGCCTCAGCTGGCCTCAGTCTCACAGAGATCTGCCTTGCCTCTGCCTCCCAAGTACTAGGATTAAAGGTGTGCACCACCATGCCTGGCTCAGCTAGCTCTTAATAATTATTAAAAGCAGATGAAATATAAAGTCTCATATTATACTTTTCCTGATCTTTGCTGCTGAAATAAAAATTATTAGTTTCTTGCACTATCAGATAGTTTCTTAGTGAATCCAACATTTGGAGAAGTGAACTGGGCTGCAGTTGGCTTCTAGCAAACCAATTTGGTTCTGAACCCTTACTTAAAAAAATCCAGTGTGTGTGTGTGTGTGTGTATGCGCATGAGCATGTGTGGAGGTCAGAGGACAACCTTATAGAGTCAGATCACTTCTTCCACCTTTTCATAAGTTCAGGTTGTCACATTTACATGACAAGAGCCTTTACGTACTGAGCTATATCTATATCTATATATATGTATATATATATATCACAGATCTTTATATTTTGTAATAACTTGGGACTCAGGGTCTACTTCACCAGCACAGGTCTGCAGGGTTAACCCCTTGTTGAGCATACGCAGGTAGGGAGAAAAGCCTGAGCCAACAGAGCAGAACCTAAGTCAAGGTCCACAAAGTTAATTCCTAGGAATCTGGGAATAGGGACCTGGTATTCTGGTATTCATTGTGTTTTTCTCTGCTCTTTTCTGTATGTTTGTGGTTTTTTTTTTTTTTTAACGTTTCCTTTTTCTTTTCTTTTTCTTAATTTAAAGTGGAAACCTTCTGAAAGAGAGCCCAAGAAGGAGAGAAGAGTATTCCACAGTCCTTCATTCCATGCTGTAGAGGGCACCATCCAGACCCTGGCTGCCTAGGATAGTGATTCCATACCCAGCTTGGAATCCTGTCCAGCTCAGCCTTCTACAGAAACACAGAGAACTCTGAGCCCCTTCCATGGTGGGGTGGCTTTGCTAGTTCCCAAATATGGGTCAATGGGAATTTGAAATGTTTCCCTGTAGTCCGGAAGGAGTGTCTACGCCAGCACACGTGGGCAGTACCTTCTGGCTGGGAACAAGTACATGGATACACCTTTAGGGAGGGAGAACTGGAATATAAACAGATCTCATTCTCATTTGATGAAATTAACTTTCCCTGAGATTTTAGCATGGATTCATAACCCATCAATTACACACCAAACTCAGCAGGGAGTGACAAGCTCTTTCAATTATTAATAACTTGGCACAATGTGACTCACAATGTGTAGGCCAGCTGCACTGAGCTGGTGTCAAATACCTCCCACTGCAAGGGTCGTCATTATAAGACACCAAACGCTTTAAAACCCAGCCATCCTGAACATGTTGGAAGGTGTCTCTCTAACCACCACCACCTCCTCCTCCTCCTCCAAAAGGAAAAACCATCCATTCAAATGAATGTGCGACACAGGTGAAATGCCTGCAGTTTCTCTGTGTTGGCTGAATTTACAAGTCATGATCCTCATGATCGTAGATTAGCACAAATGAAAGCCACCTCATATTACTAGGATTTTCCTAGGTCCCTAGGAGTTTAAACCACAGGCTCAAACAAAGCCATGTGCTCTGAATCTCAAACCAAACCTGGAATTCGTTCTGTTGTCAACCAAATGGGAAATACTGAACATAAAACTTAAGAACTTGTATTAACTCAAGCCAAGAAGGATCAATATTTGTAAATAAGTTGATGTATAAACCTATGCTGACTGCTGGGTTTTCCCACCAGTTAGTTTTTTTGTTCCACTGTAGTTAAATGGCACAAATTCTGTGGTACCCAATGGTTCTCTGTGGAAACCTACAGGCTGCCATCTGGAAGAGTTGTCCTCGCAAGACACTGACCTGAAGACTATCAGCTTTTGCCAAATGTGAAAAGCAGACGGAATTAACGCAAAGGTCATGGAAGTAGGGGACCTGAGCAGTTTTATGCTCCTCTTCCAAAGCAACCACAAATAGAAAGACAAGGCAAGAGAGAGATGCATGGGAGATGCTCTTCTGATGACAGCACAACGCAAAAGATGTTAGAAAACATGCAGCAATGCATTGCTAAAGGCGAGTTCACTAGAAAGTAAAGGCACTTGCTGTGCAAAGTTGACGACCTGAGTTCAATCCCTGAAACCCACAGTGAAAGGGGAGAATGATAGCTGTCCTCTGACATCTGCATGGGTGCCATGGCACATGGGTGCCTGCATGCAGTCATGCAGTCACACAGTACACACAATAGTAATAAATAAAATTTTAAAAAGAATGGGAATCTTAGTGACCCACAGACACTCATTCATCATGCCCCACACACATAGAAAGGAAAAATAATCTAAAAATAACTTGAAATGTGAGCAACAAACAAAACCACGAAGCCAGGCTCTCCTGAAGCAAATGCCTCGCAGAGCACTGGAGCAAGGGCTCTGACTCATGAGGGAGGGAAGCAGGGTAGAAGACTGACTTTGTCAGCTTCCGGGTTTTAGTGGCTATTCCAAGAGAGTGAAAATGGACTCGAGTTCATTGGTCCCCCAGACTTCCAGCATAAGTTTTAAAAGCAAATCCTCTCTGGAAGAATGCACTTGAAATTTAACCACAGAGAATTCCCACAGATTAGAGTGCACAGAACCTAGGTTTATAATATAAAAAATCATTAAGCACAAGGGAAATACGCCACCATAAGTGAGACAACAGAAAAAAAAAGAAACAGTAGACCCCAAACCACAAAGACTGCAGATGCCAAATAGATACAGAATATGAAGCTAGCATGCTTAAAGAAACAGAAGAGTCCAAGGAGGTAGCCCACTCCTGTAACCCTGATACTCAGGCTGAGGTGGAAGTATAGTAAGTTCCTGGCCAGGCTGGGCTAACCATAAAACTCTCTCCCAAGAAATGAAAAATAAATTATACAAAATGCAGTGGAGTCAGAGTAAGAGATGGAAATGATAGAGGGAAGGCTGGACCATGCATGAAACCTGGGCATTGGGGCTAGGGAGATGGCTTAGCTGATAAAGTGCTTGCCCAGCGCAGGATGAGCAGAGTTTACCTGTAATCCCAGTGCTGGACAGGCAGAGACAGGAAGACCCCTGGGCCTTACTGGCCAGTCAGTCCAGCCCAATCAGTGAGGTCCAGGTTTCCCCAAACCTATTTATGGTGGTGGCACACACCTATAATAGCAGCACTTGGGAGGTGGAGGGCGTTCAAGGTCATCCTCACCTATATTGAGAGTTCTAGGTGAGCCTGGGCTATATGAGAGCCTGTCTAAAAAACAAAACCAAACCCA